GTTTGATTCCCCACTCCTCCACTGGAAGCCAGCTGGGTGACCTTGGGTCAGTCACAGTTCTCTCAGCCCACAAAATAAACCTAGCTACACAAAATAAACACACACAAAGAAAACAAAATAAACACACACAAAGAAAAGAGCTAGAGTTTCAGGCTGCCAGACAACCTTCAGATCTCCTGGCTATACTACCCCCACTGTGATAGGACAATTATTATTAATTATTTAGAGTAACCCGCGACTGCTCACCTTGGGGGCAGATGCAGCGGAAGGTCCCTGCAGAATTCTGACACTGGCCCCCATTCCGGCAGGGGGAGCTTGCACAGCCATCCACCTCCAGCTGGCACTGGGGTCCCTCAAAACCTACACGAGGGAGGCAAAATTTCAAAGGTCAACATGCCCTGAATCTCCGGTGCAGGGGAAATCAGAAAATACGGCTGTGTCCCAGAGATTAAACCAATTTATTTCAGCAACTGGTTCCGTGGGTGGCTTTATAAGCATCAGGAAATGGGCTAAAGGGAGAGTGGGTATGTGTCTTCAGTGTATTTTTGTCTCGCCATTCCCCCAAGGATCTCATGGTGGCGTACATGGCTTTCTTCTCCTCCATTTTAGCTCCAGGGATGTGACATACGCTCGCAAAATCAGACTTGAATAGAGTGGAGAGGAAGAAGTCGGACTGTCTCCCCCATTCAATAACATTAGAAGCTGGGATTGCTTTGGATTAGAGACAGCTCAACCTAAGTATATACCCAGGTGGGGAGCCTTGTTGGCCTGAAGCAACAGAACACAGTTTGAGTCCAGTGGCTCCTCTAAGACCAGCAAAATTGAATAAGCTTTCATGTGCATGTTAATCTTGAAGTGTGCATGCACATTAAAGTTCATACCCAGAATTAAACTTTGTTGGTCTTAAAAGTGCCACTGGACTCAAACTTTGTTCCAAGTATATACTGTTAGACTAAAATTTGGAAGATGTGGTGGGTTCAAACTCCCACTCTGCCCTGATGCTCTTTCAACCTAATTCACTTCACAGGGTTGTTGTTAGGATAAAAGAAGGAAAGGAGAACAATATATGCCAGGTTTAAAACAAAACAGGAGGAAAACACACACACACACACACCAGCCTCCACTGTTGTACACGCACACACACAGCATTCCAGGTTGTACCTGGAAGTGACAATATGGAGCTCTAGGAATCAATAGAAAGTCCATAGTTTTACCATAGTTTCTGGAGATTCCTAGAGTGACCCAGCTCCACTTCTGTGTTGTACCCAGAAGTGATATATTGACATCAGCAATGTCACATGACCCCATGTCCTTACCCCCTAACCCTAAGTATTCAGTAGATAGACAAAAGGCACTCCGATGCAGTTCCAAGCAGGCCTGAGGTCTTCCATCTCTTCTTTTTTCAGAGGGATCCCCTGCACTGTAACCTGCAGGTTAAGGTGACTGGTGCCCAAATTCCCTGACCCCCTCCCACAGGTTCACCAAAGGGGATGGGCCCTATTTTGACCTTGCTCCTTACCCACGGGGCAGAGACACTGAAACTGGTCCAGCAGGTCCAGGCAGGAGGCTCCATTATGACATGGCTGGCTGAGGCATTCATTGAGGTCCGATTCGCAGCGCGAGCCCGTGTAACCATTGAGGCAGTGGCAGGCAAAGGAGCCGGGCGTGTTGTGGCAGCTTCCTCCATGTTCGCATGGATTTGCCCCTGGAAAAGCAGCAGACATGGATGAAGTGATATGCCCTTCCATAAATGACAGTTATTCACAGATGGTGCACTACAATAACACTCGGCCTCACTGAGACATGATGCTCACAACAGCCTGCAATGGATGGATGAATG